AAGAATATAATATAAGAAGAGAGTGGAAGGATAACACATAGCCAATCAAAATTGAGAACGCATGCGTGTGAAAAGGAAATAATTTTTAATAAAGCTGCCTGCAGAAAAGTTACAACTAAACTTACCAGCTAAATCTTGTTGATTGTTGCGATTTTTATTCTGTATTGAATGTCTGAAATATATTGATTAGAGTTTACTTTAAAATACTCATTTGTTTTTACTTACTTTCAAAAAATCGTTCAGCCAGAAATATTAATTAACAGTCCATATTTGTTTCAGATATTTCTTAAATAATGCGTAAAAGTGGAAATCATTGGTACACAGAATGATTGATGTGAAAAGGAAAATCAATGAAAAATGTACATAGCTAGGTTTTGTGTATATTCAGAGATCTATTGTAAATAATTTTTAATTTTATTGTTTTCATCTTATTTTCTTATAACAATTCAGACAAAATTGTTTATTGATCATTGATAACATAATTATTTCATTTTATATTTGTTTTTTTATTAGTATTCAGTATGGAAAAAAAATTATATTGCTTAATTTAATTTGTCGAATTTCAGTTACATATGTTTTTATCATATAATTTGCTTTTTGTCTGATTGAAACTAAAATATTTTGTCAGTTGACAGTATTGAAGCTAATTGGGCTATTACTTGCATTGGTAATTGCTTTTGAAATATTACTTAGCATCAACTTATTAATATTACATGTTTTAATTTATTTGCCATATTTTTAAGTATTTTATTTCACATTCAAAATTACTATCAATTAACTATTTAACACAGTGTATTATAGGTAAGTAAACAACTTTTAAACTACTTTTCTTTCATTGTGTGCCGTCAAATTTCGAAATTGTTAAAAGTGTGCCGTCACAAAAAAAGGTTCAGAATCACTACAATAGATCAACAAGGTAAAAACATACTTGAGGGTGCCCCTTGGCGAAATTGGCGACTTATGTTTGGCGCCATTTCTGTTTACTCGGAGCACCGTGGTAACAAGAATGGCGGCCAAAACATAATGATATTTCAATAAAACATTGGAAAATTTCAAAAAAACATGAACCAAAACTATATAAAATTTTAATGAACCCAATATAAGCAAAATTAATAAACCCATCCGCGTGCCTCCATTGCCTCATAAATTCGGCGAAATACAAATCGAAAATGGCGTCTGTGGTACCGGACTGGCGGTGACATTTTTTTGACAGTCATAAAAAGCTTTTTTTTATGACTGACCACATACCTTCGATCTTATTGACCAGAAGCAAAAGTAACCTTACCTACTTAGAACTAACGGACCTCTGAAATTACATATACCATTGAACATTTAAAAATAACGCTAAAATCTAAACTATCAAATATCCCTCAAATATAGTCTACCCGATCAACAATGATTTGAGTTAGGCTCTGCCGCGCGTGCTATGGATCTGTCGGACTAGGGATAAAAAACGCTCGAAGCGGAATAACGTAAAATAGGAGTTAAGAAAAATCTATGCATATTTTTAAAAATTGACACCTACCAGTTAAATCAATGGAAGAAATTAGTAATCTTTTTTTCGTTTCTAGCTACAATTTGCCCAGGTGCCCAATTTTTTATAAATAAAGTCTAGCTACAATTTCGTATACGGCTCGCTCAATACTAACAAGTTTTTGCAAATTTGCTTCTTGATTTACATTTGGAAGTAAAAATTGTTTTAGAGTTTTTATGCTTTGTATCGCTTGATAAGCTGTTGGCACGTCTTCTGTTATTTCATCGTCATCAGCACTATCGTCGGAATCAGGCATCAAATCACTTATGAAAAGGATTTCTGAAGTAATGATATCTGTGTCACAGTCGATGTAGGCATCATCGACTTCCGGAAGGTCCTCAACTACAGACACGCTACCTTCTTGTTCTCCTTCCAAAACAACAGCGCTCTCCTCCTCCGATATTGAAAATCCTGCTTTATTGAATCCATTGATTATGCACTTTCGGTCGACACTGTCCCAAGCTGAAGATATCAAATTAAGAGCCTCAAGAACATTAATTTTTGCCTTAGAAGCATCATGAAAGTCACCAGAATCAAGAAACATTAGAGATTTTCTAACCAGTTGCTTCCGGCAACTCTCTTTAAATGATCGTATAATTCCTAAATCCAGTGGTTGAAGTTTGCTCGTACAGTTAGCTGGAAAAAACTCTATTCGCACGTTTTTCAATTTAAGGTTTAAATGAGCAGTGCATTGGTCTAGGAATAAAATTATGTTGCGCTTTTGAAAATTCATTTTCTTATCCAGTTTTCGAAGTAAATTTTTAAATAATGCTTGCGTCATCCATGCTTTTTTGTTTGAAGTGTAATCGGTAGGAAAACTTTTGATATTTTTGAAACACCGTGGTTTCTCTGCTCTACCGATCACAAGAGGCGTTAACTTTTGGCTTCCATCGGCATTTGCACAGAGCAAAATAGTAAAGCGCATTTTTGAAAGCTTTCCTCCAATTGTCACCTTCAATTGTCAATGTCTTGTTTGGCAATAGGTTGAAAATCAGTCCCGTTTCGTCCGCATTAAATATGTCACTTGGATTATAGCCCTTTAATAAATTTGGCAGAGTTTCTTCTTTCCACTGTTACGCAATTGTCATATCCACACTATCGGATTCGCAACAGATAGATTTGAAGCATAAATTTTTCCTTTTTTTTAATTGATCGATCCAGCCATTTGATGCACTGAAGCCTTGGAGTTTAAGCCTTTCAGCAATTTCAAGCACCTTTACTCTCAGGATGGATCCATTTATAGGAATCCTTGCTGCTCTGGCTTCCTTGAACCAGTTCATTAAAATGTTTTCTAACTCATCATACGGAGATGTTTTAAGGGTTTTTCTCTTTTTGGCATATTTTCCGAGTTTTTCAGCGTTTAGTTCTACTGAAGCTTCTTGCTTTAAAATCATTTCCAAAGTTGAATAAGCAACACTCAAAGATTTAGCAAGATCAACTTTAGTGCCATGAAATTCTTTAGCTTTTTCGATGATTTCAGCCTTTTCGGCCAGAGAAAAGCATTTTCGTTTCGACATCTTCTTTCGAGAAAAGAAAACGATGACTGAGGTTTCGAAAATGAGAAAAAATGCTATAGCTTTCAAACTCAAGCAAAACCGACTGAAAATCTCATTTGTTATGCTAGCACGGAAAAATGAGTATAAAACCATTTCAAATAGAATTAAAAAAAATAATAATTTCTGTATGTAGCAAAACGCATCAAGCGGGATTTTCATAAAAGGGGTAACGCAAAATCCGGGATTTTTTAACATTATCGGTATAGGCAATTTTCACGGATCAGCAGAAAATGACGTAAGAAGCGGGATAACGTACGAAACGGACAACGTAAAATCGGGGTTCCACTGTATAT